GAAAGAAAAAAAACTAAACATGAAGAGCAGGTTTTTTACCAGTAATTTTCCTATCACCATGTTATTTAATTGGAACAAGGGTGGCATTTTTTATTTTGGCCCATTAAAAAATAAAAGACAACACTTTATATGAGCACACCCCCACCCCCACCCCTTTTTTTTTAACATAACACATAAACAAAGATGCATCCTGAGCTTCACTATCACCATCCAAGTCCCAGGGAAAAAAAATGCTGACCTTGTTATATTTACTGGGTGGGTGCAGAATTGTTCCATCACTACCCCGAGGGTTGAACGATGGAGCTTGTCAAAGTGAGGCCTTATCTAATGAATCATCTTATCGCAGGTGCACACCACACATATTAAAGGAGGATTGTATGAACAATGTGCCCTCTACAATAACCTTTCAATGTCTACTTTAACCCTTGTTTCAATCCCTTTTCATCAAAGGATCATTTTATGCAGCCAGCTTTAAATGGAGGCTCTCAAAAGCCTATTAAGATTTCTGGAGGGATGGGGTATTGGTTTGGAAGAAAAGTTGGTTATAATACCTATAACTCATAGTCAGATCAGCTCCAACCTAGAAGCCTGCTTCTTTCTGTCTGTGCTCCAGAAATGGTTCACAATCGCCACTCGCATGAGGTACTTGGCACCAAAGAGCTGGAGATATAAATCCAGACTAGTTTTTCAATAGTTTTCCCTCTACATGTTCTCTAAAGAAAACATAAGCAAAGTGTGGCCATTCACTGCATGTATATAAAAAAAAAAAAAAAAGAAATACTACTCTGAAGATATCACTGAATGAAACTATAGATTCCCTCAGGCTCAGTCTTGTTTATTCCGCACAAAATGTGAAGTCCAATAATTCCACAGGTTGCAGAGAAAGAGAAGAGAAAGGATCTTCCCTATTGTTGGATAAGATCACAGGATCTGTCGGCCCAGCTCTTTTAAATAAGGGCTGGTTTTTTATTACTTGTTTTCACAAATGTTCTTTGGTTTACAATCAGTACTGCAGACCTCACCACGACATAGATAAATGTTGATAGTAAGTGTGCAATAGAACACCCATTTTTATAATCCTTTGCATAAACCCATATTGCCTCTGAAGCTATCTGTCTACAAAACAGGAGTATTCCGTGTAATTAAATTACATTCCAGAAATTAAATTACATTTCCTGCAAATTAATAAACTTATAGCTATTAAACAAGAACTGAAAGGTATGTTTCTTCAGAATTGGGAGTGTAAGTGAATAGTAATTTGGGATACTCCATTTCTGAATGAGATGCTTGAACTCATTAAGAAGCCAGACTTGCATCATATGTTAAGAATCTGCCCTTTGAAAATTGCCCCTTTCAAAGAATTACAAATGTGACACCCAAAATTCACTCCTGCAAATAGAAGGTTGGATGACTTACTAGACTGTATGTGCAATCTTTGTAATTATACTCTTCTTCTGTAACAGAAATTCAGAGCTTGTAAATGTCCATCTGTCTAGCTAAATATATGGTGATCAGTAATCCATGGAGACATTAAGCTATAGGTCAAATCCAAGATTCTACGGCAAATTTAGGGAAATGATCTTTTAAATGACATATGGCATGGCCTTAATTCCCAATAGTCTAGGAGTTCTTACAATTGCAGTAACAAAATGATATATATTAACAATCCTTTATATACAGCATTTGTTATTTAGTTGTTGAATTCACAATTATGTTATGATAATTTTGTTTGTTTGTTTTGAATGTCAATATGACCCGCAATACCAGAGCTCCACAAGACCACTGTAGGAAAGAGATCTAATCCATTGGAATAATAGGATTAGATCACCCGAATAATTCGATATAGTGCAGGTAGAGGACTCCAAATCAAATTTTCATTTTTAGAGGCGTATTATGAAGGGCTATTGGCCCATGCAATGCTGCTTGTATTCTGTTTGCTTTCAGCACTTTCCAGGAAACATTTGCAGCACCTGGTTTTCATATGTTAAATTTAAAGGCCAGGGCAGCACAACTGCTAGATTCCACCCTGTTGGTAGATACACTGATTTCAAAGAGAAGCAGTCCAACCGCTTGGCTTCAGCCTGCCCTTACAGTAGGATCCTAGTGCCAGTGCTGCACTTGGGTTCTTCAGACCTGTAACAACCAGACATTTCTCTTTTTTGCTCTGTTATTGTGAATGAAAGAAAATATTAGGAGTTTTGAGTGGGTTTTATTATGTCTATTAAGTACACAAAATGTGTATTTTGGCTGTTTTCTTAATCTTTGTAAGGAGGTGAACCACAGAAATATGGAAGCAAGATTGATGCCTCTGGTTTCCATAACCGCTAGCTGCAAGTCAGCTTCTTATTTGGCTAAAACACAGTGCGTAATCGTCATGAGTTGCATTCGCGTAAGGGCCTTGACATGCATAGGATCAAACACATTTTAACTACGGGTGCTGAGTAAGTTTAGCTTCTTGGTTGGAAAGATGGGAGTTGTCTAACTGGAGAAAAATACATCCTAATTCAGCAACTGCAAAATAACGGCTTAGCGTAAAGAGTAAAAAAGTAGCGTAATAAGAGTACACATTGTGAACTGTCCTGTGTTTGAAGAGGGCAATGCATTCTACTTCCTGGTAAGGTAATAGGAAAACAAAAGTAAGTGTGGTGTAACTGTACAGTACATAATTTAATTGAACAGTGAATTTAATTGGGATGGCAGTCATATAAGCTAAGAATGCTGTGCTGGTTTTGGCTGCGATAAAGTTAATTTTTTCATAGAAGCTAGTATGAGGCTGCATTTTGGAATTTTGTGGAGAAGAATGTTGATAACACGCTGATGTTTTTAGTGTTGAGGTTATGTTTTGGATTTCCTTGGAGGAACTCAGGCTTCATGGTGCCCAAACTTGCTCCTTGGATTTGCAAACCTTCTGTAGATAAAAAACTTTGAGCACAGCTCCACCCTGACAATTAACAAAAAATAACTAATTTTTGAGCGTTATAGCCCACAAGTAGCTCAGGAAACTAAATAGAGAGAGAGAGGCATTGTTGATCCAATTAGACAATAGGAGTACTTTGGTTCTCATTATTCTGATGAGAGGGTACACTTTGCTCTTGGAGTTTCTTGATGGTAAATGGTGCTAATGAGGCCTGATGGATTCCTTGCTCCTAACAAGCCACTCAGCAGTGCAAGTGATTACAATGGAGATAGATTTGATGGGATGCGCTCCCTTTTGTAGTGTCTCAGCTGCTGACACTCTGCGACATAATCAGGTCACAGAGCCGGTCACAGCCATCAGCAAAAGCCATAGCTCTATCCCTCATTTTTAAAGTGCATTATTCAGTTCCAGGCCTTCACAATACTGCCACAGGCCTTTTTTCGTCTTCTTTTTTGTTAAGCATCAGTTCTCAAATACAAGGGTTAATAAAATCATCAGCTAAAGAACTAGTAAATTAAAGAAATGGAAATAAAGCACTCCCTTTCAAATTCGTTGAAGGATCAAAATTAAATAAGCAGGGAATTTCTCGTCACCACACACTGTACAGTACAATGTAATATGTCATGTGCAATAAAAACAGGGAATAGGATTTTAAAAAATAGCATTGTCCTCATTGTGGACTGGCTTGGAAAGTGCTGAAGTATCTTTCATTCAGAAGAGAATTTCTGTCCTCCCAACTATTACATATGTACATGGAGGTACTATTATTTTCAACATTTAGTGTAACTA